GTCACGCGTGCGTGCGTGCTTGAGAGAGAGAGAGAGAGAGAGAGAGAGAGAGAGAGAGAGAGAGAGAGAGAGAGAGAGAGAGAGAGAGAGAGAGAGAGAGAGGTGCTACGGATTGGTGGAACGTTTTTAGAGCCGTGTGCTATGCGCTTCCCCCGCACAATCAAGAGAGAGAGAGAGAAGGGGGGGGGGTGTTGAGAGAGAGAGAGCCAGCACTCCCCTCCGCTCCGCGAAGGCTCCCCACAACCACTCTCTCTTCTCTTTGTCTCTCTCTCTCTCCCCTCTGCAGCATGTCTGATATTATTTGTTATTTGCTTAGTACTTCTCAAATCCTATCACACCTTGATTTATTGAAGGAAAGCAATGCATAGGAAAAAAAATGTGTGCGTCTTAATAGAAAGCTATGGAGCCTCATTTTATTGAATGTTTGCAAATGCAAAGAAAGCTATCAGAAGAGAATAAACGAAAAAACAGAAAAACAGACGCATGCTTCATAGAAAAAAATGTCAACTGTCTAATGGGTTCGATACATTGGCTATAGCAGGTTCTCATGCATGCTTCAGTATGGATGGCGAAGATGATAGCGATGGAGCCCATCGACTCTCAGCACCTGACACTTGAAACAGTGAAGCCAATCCTACACCTTCTACCGCCCCACAGATTTTTGATGTTCAATTGCAATGCCACTGGACAACGACTTCTGAAAAAAAAAAAAACTTGCGCCTTCTTTGGTTGGCCAAGAAATATTGGATATTGAATTGCAGATGTTGGTTAACTATCGATTTCAGGACAGCTACGAAGCCGGCAGCTCACAAACCCAAGAACAATCACTCAAACAGAACCAAGGGAAGCCATATAGAGATGAATAATAATAATAAAAATGATAATAATAATAATGATAATGATGATAATGATAAAAATAATGATAATGATGATAATGATAAAAATAATGATAATAATAATAATAATAATTCGACCCCATAAGCGACATTGGCCGCAGGGGAGGACGATGGTCCGCTGCGCGCCGAAACAAGATGTGAAAATGTGTGCGGGCCATCGGATGGGGTGGATCGACGAGCAGGGTAGGCGGCATAAAAATGTGTACAAGCCATCGAATGGAGTAGATCGATGGGAGGGGTGCATGAGCGGGCATCATTTTGTCCCCCCTTTTTTTTTTCGCTTTTACCGGTTTGTGTTTTGTTTGCCCTCGGCCGGGTGTCATTTTGTCCTCCATTTTTTTTTCAGTTTTGTTTCCTCGCTCGTCGTTTTACCCAACCCCTTCCTTTTTGTCTGTGTTTTCCCAATACAGCGGGTGATTGTCGTTTTGTCTTTCAAAATAGAGGCTACAGCTGCCAGCCCCTCTAGATAGAAACAAAAAACAGACAAAAAAGAAAGCACACAAACACACACATGCCTGTGGGGGCCCACCTAACCATGCACGTACCCGCCTGCACACGCATGCACATGCACACACACAAACACTAACATTTGAAGCTTGCTGCCAATGGTTGTAGCTAGTGTTTGAACCCACACAGATTTGAGATGCCTAAGTGCCCAATGAGACGACTGTTAAGTTAAACTGGGTCCCTATCTGATTTTGGGGACCGCTTTTTTTTTTGTGAATCCCGTGTCAAGCAGCTGGCATGTCATGATGTTTGTGTCCAAACCCTAACCTTGCTCAGTGTGGAGAACCAGCTGAATGACAGAAATGGAAAATGTGTCGAACTGACGCGGTCATGCATTTTGCAGCCATAAAGATTTTTGCAAGGCAAATGAGATATAGCCAAATGACTGAATTCCAGAATGCAGTTTCACATTGAAATTTGAAAGCCAGAAAGTCCAACACTGTCCAGAAAGCAGAAATGCACTGATATTCCACCAATGGAGGACCAAAGCACCGAATCCGAATGTCAATGAGAGCATAATCTAGCGACCACCAACATATGTATCCAAAGCCCTTCTCCTACTTGAAGCTGAGCGCCCAGACTACAACACAACTACTAGCAGCCTACGAATTGACAGTGCATTTTATTGACATCAGCAGGAAAAGCCGCAGTGCATGAAGATATCGACCTAGTAGACCACGACCAAGACCAGGTACGTGCCCTCACATCATCAACCTCATCTCTCTCTCTCTCTCACCCTCATCTTCATCACCCACGTCTCCCTTCCCATACACGAAGACCACCATGGGCTATGGCGCTGCCCTCAGTAGCGCCCTGTAACCTCTCAACACCCATATAGGTGACGACATCGGCCAGGAAAGCCAGACAGTCTACCAACCTGTGTAGGTGTAGGAACTCTGTGGATGAAGGATAGGGCCTTGTTCACCAAACCCACACGGGCGGAGTAGGGCTAAAGACTGTGTCTGACGACTCGACTGTCCCGGAGGACACGAACCCTCCCAAGGACCGGTACTGACCGACGGGCTGCTCGGTATGGCATGGTAGGCCCAAAATCCAAGCTGTGGGCTGCACAACAGGCCGTCTAAGTGTTGAGAAGACCTGCTGATCGCGTCGTCCTGTCTGCGACGTTAAAGAATTCTTGAGGAGTTACGAGGGATCTCCTTAAATGCCTCTTGATCAGCAACAGGTCTTATAGTGACAACCTTAGAGTAGGTCTAGGCTAGAGACCATAGTTGATAGGATCCTGTCCGGATTCTGTAAGTCCATAGATTGAGTCAGTAGGTGTGTCAGTCAGGGGGAGTAGAGTCTAAGTGGTGAGGAGCGGAACCGATTGTCTGGTTGTGCACCTTCCACCATGATTGACACCCGTAGTGAGAAGAGTACTGCCCCCTCCAAGGCCGAGCAGGCCCGGATTGCCGCCCTTTTGAGAGAGAAAAAAGAGAAGAAGGAACTCTTGAAGCAGGCAAAGCTAAGGGCCATTGCAGAGGAGCAGACGACGAAGAAGAAGAGATTGGAGGAGGAGATGTTGCAATTTCAGAAGGAGAAGATGATGCTGTTAGAACGAGAGGAAGAAGAGAGGAAGAAGGTTGCACAAGAAGCAGCAACAGAGGAGGAGGAAGAAGAAGTAGAGCCCCTTGAAAGGAGACGTGGAGAAGAGAGAGGGGAGACAAGTGACACAAAGGGAGAGGACATGTGGATGGAGAAGAAGATAACTGAGTGGGTGGCTAATTTATCGTTAGGGGAGGATGAGGAGGCACAGTTATATGTGCCGCACAAGGAGAAAGAAGCGTTTGTCAGGGAGTTGGAGACGATAGAAGATCCCCTGGAACGCCAAACGACGGAGGACAAGAAAAAGTTGGAGTGGAAACTAAGAATGATGAGGGAGAAAAAGAGGAGGAGAGAGGAGATCAACAGGGTGGCGAAAGAAGTGGAGAAGGTTCAAGCCTGTAAAGAAGAGGTGCAGGCACAAGCGGAGGTCCCCGCCAAACTAGATAAGATCCTGGGGTACCTAGAAATTTTAAGCAAGGCCTGGGTAGAAGAACATCAGGCCATCAAGGGTCAAGATGTCACCCTGCACGCCATCTGATCTGGGTTTAGAGAGTTTGTGCGCGACGTAGTGACCCACGTCGGGACCGAGGTCAAGAAACTAAAGGAGGGCGCAGAGAAGTTATGTGCCGGCGCCGTTGAGGGTGCCAAAATTGTGGCTGCGGCCAAAGCCGAAGCACGTCCCCGCAAAGAGCCAGTAAAGCTCAAATTTCCTGACGCTTATGGCGGGAAGAAGGAGGAAAATTTTGATAATTGGGAGGCTAGTGTAAACAGTTATGTTTACTTACAACACATCTTGTTTGAGGAACAAGTCCTCGTAGCCTTCCAGGCCTTGAAAGATGACGCAGCCAATTTTGCCAGGTCCCTTGCGCGCGCAGCTGGTTGTGAAAACAACAGGGTTGCATACTCTAAGACCACCTCACTTCCCCAGTTCCTCAAACTCATGAGGGAGCGATTTGCCGATCCGACGAGAGTCGTTAGGGCCTCTGATAAGCTACAAACCATTCACTCGCGACAGTGGAGGAGTGCGAAAGCACTCAAAGCTGTCATGGACGACTTGGTAGCCGTCCCGGACCATGGGGTCACTGAGACCCTGTTGGTCCAGTTATTCTATCGTGCCATGCCAGAGCCCTTGAGAGGGTATTTCTTTGACAAGACCCAACAGCCCAATATCACGTATGACGCATTGAGTAGGGAAGTGGTCTTGTTTGAGGCCAAGTCTATGCCAGTTTCCACTTTCTAGCACAAAGACTTAGACAAGGGCAAAAAGTGGAAGGGTCGTACCATCTCAGGCCAGGTTAGGGCCAAGGACCATTTGATCCTTACTTTAAATGAAGGTGGTACTGACGAGGTCCCATACAGTCAGATTGAGTGGGGCCTCGAGGAAGAGGACAGCAGCGTAGGTCAGGGGAGGTCCTATGCAGCTGTCACGGCCGGAGGGAGGCCGCAAGGTAGAGGAGGAGGCCAGGCCAAAGGGGCCAGGCCATGGAAGGCCGAGGATCGGGCGCACAGGAGGTTGGCGGTCAAGGGAACCGTCAAGCGGGAGGTAGGGGTCAAGGTCCCCCGTCGAATCGCCAAGGTCCTAGTCGGTCCCCACATCGACGAGGTGGCAAGTCACCTCAAAGGTCAGGAGGTTGGCACCCTATGAAGATCTGGGCCTAGATCAGAAAGTGTGGCAGCAGCGTATGGAGTAGGGGCAATGTATTGACCCTGCCCATATCATAAAATTTTGTCCTAAGTATAAACAAGCCCGTTGGGCTGCCCAAGAGTCAAAAGGCAGCCGCCGGTAGGGGTCGCAACAACCCCTACTACTAGGCCATGTGGGGAAGCGAGCGCGGGCGTACAGGAAACTCCCACACCACATGTGCCTTCGACAGAGGCTGCAGGCCCGTGCCTAGTTAGTTGTCCAGAGACTGCTTGTGTCAGCGTCTCTCTAGGCACGTCCCTCACAGGCGTGGCAGAGGAATTGAAGGAGAGGATGCTTGTCTGGGCCAAGATGAAGAAAAACAGTAAAGGGCAGCTAGTGCTTGTTGACGTAGAGGTGTTTAGAGGTAGAGTTGGAGTCCTTATAGACTCAGGGGCCACCCGCAGCTATATTACCCGTACGACACTGAAAAAGTTGAGGCTAGGATTGAAAGTCCAGAAGTTGAAGACCCCATAGTTAGTGTCCTCGCAGACAACCGCACTATGCGTGTTCAGGACTACGTAGAGGGAGTCCAGGCGTACTTTCGCCTAGAAAAAGATGGGAAGGTGGAGAATGTTCTCCATTCCCTGACTCCCCTAGTACAGGATGACCTTCCGTTTGACATAGTCCTAGGCATGGACTTGGGAGAGGCAGCAGGGGCCACACTCCACTTGAGAAAGCATGAGTGTAGGCTCCCTAGTCCGTCAGGCGAGGTTAAGACAGCTCGCCTGTTCCATGTGTCAAGGGTAGACAACTCCTTGGCACATTGCTGTCTCAGTGCTCCCGCGTTCGCGCGATCAGTGAGAAAGGAGCAGTTAGAAGACCAGGTCTTTGTAGTATATGTTAGACCTGTCACTGAGCCTAGGAAAGGGGATAGTTTCACAGATCCAGCCATTGCCAAACTGCCGGAAGAGTTTAAAGACTTAACGGAGTCGCTGGCAGGAGTAGTGCTGCGACCTATCCAGCACAGGATAGAGATAGAGTCTGGCAGTAGAGGATCGTGGCCAGTTCTAGAAGTAAAGGGCGGAGAGGATGGACCATCCTACACAATAGAGATACCAACACACCTCCACACCTACCCTGTGTTGCACGCATCAAAGTTGCTGTCGTGCGTCACAAGTCAACAATTTCCATCTAGACGGTCCATGATCCTTCCAGACATGGATGGAAGATATGACATTGACGACATTGTAGGTGAAGACGTGTTCAGAACAGGAGGTAGAGGTCGTCCACAGAAGCAATATAAGGTCTGGTTTGCATATCAGGAACCGGAGGATGACCACCGGTTCACTAGAGCAGAACTCCTAGAGACAGCTCCCGATATAATTAGGACCTATGAGAGAGATCCGAGAGAGAAAGGTCCTTCCTTGGACTGAGTTATTCTCGGAGGACCTCGAACTTAGGCCGGCGGGAGTGAAACGGTATTCACCAGCTCGCAGTAGCTGACATCCCAGGGTTCGATCCCTAGTTCCCACCTTACTTGTGCACAGTATCTGTGTCGACCCCTAGAGTTGAACCCGCGACCTGTGTATTTGTAACAGTTGGTAGGTTCTCGTAGAGTCCATAGGTAGCAGGGGTTCGATCTGTAGACCTGTCGAGTAGGAGTCTCAGTCAGGTCTAGAAGTCGTAGTTGTAGCTTTCCTGAAAGGTCAAGGTCGTAGCTGCTACAGTCCAGAAAGGTCCAGGTCGTAGCTGCTACAGTCCAGAAAGGTCAAGGTCGTAGCTGCTACAGTATCGAAAGGCCAAGTCTACGGCCTTCCGGAAGGTCCCAGCAGTGGCCTTTCGGAGTTGCCCACGTTTAGGCTGAGGCAAGTGGGCAAGTGGTAAGGCAAGTGGTGGAGTCTACCCGTGCCGAGTCAGCAGTCCCAGTCCTAGGCAGTCCTGGTCCAGTCAGGTAAGTACCGCATGGGACTGTGTGTGAAACGGTATTCACCAATTCGTGGTAGCTGAGGTAGATCCCAGGGCTCGATCCCTAGTTCCCCAACTTACCTGTGTACAATACCTGCGTCAACTCGAAGAGTTGAACTTGCGACCTGTAGAACCGCCAGTGGTAGGTAGGTCTGTCGTAGGTCTATAGGTAGCCAGGATTCGATCCATAGACCTATAGACTAGAAGGCTAGCTGCAGTCCTTCTAGAAGGTTGGCAAGTGGTGCAGGCAAGTGGTCAAGTGGCCAAGTGGTGCAGGCAAGTGGTCAAGTGGTGCAGGCAAGTGGGCAAGTGGTGTGACCAAAGCAGGGTTGTCGTCATACAGTCAAGGGAGAGTCTAGAAAGTACCARTCCGGTCCAGCAAGTACCACGGGGGGAACTGTGTGCACCATGGGCCAGGGACACAGGGCAGACCAATGCAGCACAGAAGTATAAATCAAGAGGCTACGTCCATTCATGCATTCATTCCTGCGGATGCCAGGCGGAAGCGCTGCCTTAGCAGCTTGTGCGAGGCGGTCTGCAGTGCGCCCGAAGACGAAGTGGGCAGAGAAGTGTAGTGTAGCGATAGGGTAGAGGCAGCTAGCGCTGCCATAGCTGTAGCATAGTATGTGTGTGTGTTGTGTATGATACTGAGTGTTGCGTGTGGGACATCCAGGGTGATCCAGAGTGCGAACAGTGAGTTGTGTGGGCGCCCAGTCGCCATAGCCAGTTGAAGAGAACTCATATCTGGTTACGATATCTTGAGTACTGTGTGGGCGCATGNCAGTCGCCATAGCCAGTTGAAGAGAACTCATATCTGGTTACGATATCTTGAGTACTGTGTGGGCGCATGTCGCCAGTTGCTGTACCGCTGTTTGCAGGCATGACAAAGTGACAAGAAGACGAGTTTGAGTTTATGTGCACTTCGGGCATGGGAAAGGGCCAGACCAACGAGCTGCAGAAGTATAAATCAAGAGGCAGCGCCCAGTCATTCATTCATTCCTGCGTGAGCCATGCAGAAGCGCTGCCACAAGCGACTTGTGCAAGGAGGTCTGCAGTGAGCCCGAAGACGAAGTGGGCGAGAGAGACGGAGTGTAGCCATAGCGATAGGGTTGTAGCGGCCATAGCCGCCATAGCTGTAGTTGGAGTTCAGTGTGTGTGTGTGTGTGAGTGTTCAGAGAATCGCGTGCGGGATATCCAGGGTGATCCTGTGTATGCCAACAGGGAGTTGAGTGGGCCCTATGTCGCCATAGCCATTTGAAGTGAACTCGTATCTGAGTTGCGCTCTTGGTTGCCATATCTCCTGAGTTCTGAGTGGGCGCATGTCGCCAGTTTGTTGCGCTACTGTTTGCATGCATGTAAGTGTGAATGAAAGCGAGTATGATTGCACAATAGTCCGAACACAAATCTGAAGTTCTATCTCAATGTGCCACGTGGCACGTCAATCAGTCCTCATCAGCGAGCTGGAGCAATGTCGACGTCGAAATAAACAGGAACGTATCTATGATCGCCCCACAGTCATGATCTCCTCCCGAGTGATGATGAATAAGAACAGCAATACCAGTCATATAGTCTCGCCACATCAGCAACGGTATACGTGGCAGCGGCCACGTCAGCGGCGGCGTGTGGCAGCTGCCACGTCAGCATGCCCAGAAGACAATTGCCAGCCGGCCACCATGCTGAGCCAGCAGCGCGTCGCTGTGGCCGTCCAAGTGCCAGCATAGAGCCAGCGTCCAGCCAGTGTCGCAGCGTCGCGCTAGCGTCGTAGTCAACACGTGAAGTCAGCATTGACACAAGACAGAAGGTTTTGCAAGCCAGGGGGTCCAGGCTTATGTAGCATTGATGCGGGGTCTGGACCCCCGTTGCTGCTTCCCTCTGCCGTCGAGATCTCACAAGGCAAATGACGGCCCAGTTAGGCCTGAAACCGAACTCCCTGTGGCCTTGATGCTGTCTGGGTACCTGTGCACAACAAGTGAGTGTATCCAACCAAGGGCCTGGGCGTGGTACCTTTGACAGTTGACTTAGACTTTTGACTTTCCAGGGCAGTGCGTGGTCACACTGCCTGGCACAGGTCGAGTTTGGCCTGTGTAGTCTGTGCTCCGTTCGAGGCCCAGACTGCTGCAGAAC